TACTCTTATTACTCACGCAGGCTCTGGTGGGACGTCCCTTCCTGTCTTGTTTTGTTCCTTTCACCCGAGTCGGACAATTCGACTATTTCTCTCATTCTCACTACACACTGGACGAAACAAAGCATTTGTACTGCTTTGAAGCCTTTGTATACCCCATCCCTTCCCTTTCCCTTATTATTTTATTTTGCCTGCCATCCTGCTCGGGTGTTGAGCAGTCAGAGCGAAACGAGGATATCGATTCTCCGCGACGTTAGTTTCCAAGTTCTGATATTGCCTCGCCATATCTGATAAGGCAACACAGACCTCTTGTTCTCCCCTCGGCCCCTCGACGTCCGCGATAGCCAGAGGCTTTGTACCGGCACATTGTGCCTGTGATTGCTCCGGGTAATTTGACCGGGGGCACGCCAGGGTCAGCCTGGGATAGAGCCCAACACGTCATCTGTGCTGTGTGACGCCCCCCTCCTGGCTGATGGTCCATCGCGCCATGCAGCTCTCTGGAACGCCAGTGCCACATAACTTGTTTATCTCTCTCCTGCTGTGAAGGTCAGGACCCCCTCCCCCCGCCCTCTCTTCCCCTCCAAAGAAAATAAAAACACCGAAATAAAAAAACCAAAAAAAACAACAACAATAAATGTGATGTGCGACGGGTTCGGTTGCATCAGGCCATACGATAGAGAAGATAAATTGTGAGGCAGCGTGGTGGAATCAGGCTCTCGTCAAAATAATCAAAGTGAAGAAACTTGCATTTTTCTGTAGGTCTGTGAATTTTCATCAAATTTGTGTTTTTTTGGCTCAACACCTTTCATGACCATTAAAGAATTCATTTCAGTGTGGATTTTTCTGAAAAGCGTTGATAAAAGGCACAAAAAATGTAAATTTTCAGTTACCATGGACTCTTAAGCTAAGGAAATAACTAATCTTTGGCGGCCATATTCTCACTAATTTTACTTCTGAAAACAGTTGACCCCCACCTCCTTTTTTCGTTAATATCTCGACTTGTATTCAAGATAATTGGATATTTTTTCCATCCAAATAAAGGCCAGTGAGCAAGCTTTAAGATGATACCAATAACTCTACATGCCCTAAAATTGACGAGGGCCTGATTCCACCACGCTGCCTCACAATTGTTATGCTGGAAAGGAAACATGAAGAATTTAGCAAATGTTGAGCACATAATGATGTGGTGTCTGGATGACCAATACATAACGAGGGAGCTGCAACCATCTGAACTTAAGGCAATAATAGGATGGACGCCCGTGGGAAAAATAACGCCCGTTCTTTTGAAACTGGGCGTTTTTATCTATCTGCCTGCCTGTCTGGTGGCTGGCTCTGGCTGTCTTCTCTTCAATGTGATGTCTGTAGTCTGTGCAGGTTTGTTTGATTACGTCAACGCAGGTGCTCAAAGAGCGTATGCATATAACTATGTCACTGTCCTTTTGGACAGTTCATTAAAGGTCACTTTCACATAGCGGGTGGTTGGCGGGTGCTCTAGTTTGGTTTGCTTCTTCTTTCCTTTCAAACATCTATCGTCTTTATCTCCCCTCCTTCTATTTTGTGTTTGTTACTCTCTTGTAGCACCTCTAATCTTTGGCTGTTTCCGGGGTGCCTTGATGGTCGAAGCAGACGGTGTGCTGTTGAAGCTAGAGAGGTGACCAGAGTAAGCCTGCTTTTCCGTAAAGACTCCTCTGTTGACATCCACCCCTTGGCGCTCATATGACCTAATGCAGTTGCGAGCACCGTAAAACCTCTACTAAAACCAACAAACAAAAATCGATGGTGGCGTCGGCAGCCTAGTGGTTAGGCTACCGGACCCTTAATCGTGAGATTGCGGGCTCCGGGATTCGAGCGTCAACTCGGTTCGATGTTGTGTCCTTGGGAAAGGCACTTTACACGAATTTCCCGCTTGGCTCAGCCCTTTCGGAGATGGACGTCAAATTCGGAGGTCACGCTTCTTAAATAACCTAACAGTGTTGATAGGAGCGTTAAACCTATACCATTTCACCATTTATAATAAAATTGTTTCAGGACTGCACATTTGTCCCTTCTTAAATGACCCGTTTTTCTTCCGCGAGAGAATCAATAGTAGGATGGGTGACAAAATAGAACTGCGAGAATGCTCCTGTTTGTCGATTTCCGTGTGTGAAAGGCTATTTGGCCTTCCGCTGTTGCTGTTGCCCCTTTCTCCGAAATAACGGGACAAGGAGAAATAATTTCACGGATTTTTGTTTCATTCCTTGCCCGGCCTCTGTGAATTCATACAATAGCAGATACCTCGTTTCGTTTTGAAAAAAGTATCGTAAGGTTTTGCAGCATTTGCTATGTGTGCACCGCTTATTGCCGCATAGTGTCAGAGTTACTTAAGTCTGCTCCCACCCCACCCCCCTCCTCCCCCTCTCCTTTCCCACAACCCGCTATTATCCATGCGTAGTTAGCAAGTCCCTAGAGAGACCATTTTCACTCCGTTTT